TAAGTATTCACGAAGGACTGACATCATTTGGGAAACCATCGAAACCTGGGAGTACTGGACAGCTGTTTAGTCCTGGTATGCGACTCAGCCATACGCGCCTACAACCCAGCTATGTTTTGAACTCAGGACCTTCAGGTTTCTTAACGAACACGTTAAAAATTCAGTCAGTCTGTCGAAGTTCAGAAGTTCACAGTTTCTTACTCCTGTCAATTCACGGTATAGTGTTACAAACACCCGATGTCTTCAGATGGCATCCGTTTCCCTCCCAACTGGCTGACCTCATAGGTCACGATATCTCACTAAAACTCCAAAAGTCTCACTTGGAAGCATGATACTGATAAGCATCATACAGTAATGCATTTTTGGGTGAATGGGGGTTTTAATTTTGAGGTAGTGTTCATCGTATATTGCTGAGGAGTTCCATACTGGGACGAAACAGCTATTCAGTACTCCCAGGTTTTCAATGGCTCTGCAACTGATATCAGTCGGTGATGAATGTTATCTCAAAATCAAAACCTCGATTCACCTAAAAATACATTAATATTTATATTATTAACTTGAGATATTGAGTTTAGTCAGTTTTCAGAACTATAAACGGGTTAATCAAATTAATGTCAGCTGAATTTCAGTTAACTTATTTCGCTTGTAGTATGATTGATGGTTTCAATGTCTGCCTTGGTTTTTTATCTAGTGAGGTGGTAGGCGTTTTCTCACAATTATCGATGAGCTTTCGCTGAGTTGACTTGTTTACTTGGCCGTATACCGATTACTCCCAGCCATTAGATATGTTAGTTACACAGGACTTGCTATCTTCTTTCTCGGAAAGGTTTCCAAAACGAATTTAAATCCACGATTATTGTTCTCAATGTCGTCACTACTTTGTATCATCTGGGTAAAAAAATGATACTTTATTCTAAAAAACACCAATGCCTCAAATCTATACGTGAGCAATTTCATTGCAAAACCGAAGGTTTTATTTCCTGAGCAATTAGACTATTATTTGTCCTGTTTTTCACACTAAAATTAACATGAATGCTGTAATTGTGCAAAATAAATGTATGTTCCCCTTATGTTTTAACAGTTACTGATGTGTTACTCACCTACATGATGGGAAAAAACTGATTTTTATTGGCGAAAAACGTCTCATGATAAGCAACTACTAATCTTCTTGTTTTGTCTGTTCAATACTTTGTGGAATTAAAGGGAAAAAATAATGCTACATTATTTGTGTTTGTTTTGTTGTTTTGTTTTGGTTGAAAACATTATGGTAATTGTTGACAAATATTCTGTGTTTACTAGGGGATTTCCAGAATATTCGACTATATGAGAAGGCAGTTCTCAAATATCATTCATATGGATATTGACAATAGTAATAATAATAATGATAAGCAGAAATATGCCTTACACGATGAATAACAAGAACAGTTATTTATCTGAATAACTCAATAACTATGTTTGTTCATTCGAATCTCCATGCATAAATGCAAATATTCATAATAGCGAGAATACCCCTATTATTATTATAATTATTATCGTTATTAATTGATACTACCTCATTCGGTTAACCTGATTCTTTGATCTCTCCTGCTGCATCATATTTCCAGCAACTCGAAGAGTAATTCAGATAACTGAAGAGTCTTTATCAACTAACATATCGTATAATTCTCCTCATGGTAAATATAACTCCTATGATGTCCGTCAGAATTATATTATCTTGACTATTAGCTCTTCTAATATCAACGTGTTACTGTGAAGCCTTATCATTTTATGCGTAGAAATTTCAACAAACTTCTTCATACACGGGTTTACAGAATGAAAGATTGTAGGTCAGTTATGATACTTGTAATTCCCCGTTGATAAACAGGACCGCATTGCTCGACATGTGTTGACAGATGGACTTCTATGTGGATCCCTTGATAATGCTGGATATTCATGAAGTTGTATTGATCTTGGTGACTAACAGTGGAATCCAGGACGTGCGTCTCGTTCTATCTAGGGCTCGTCAGATGGATGTACCCGCACTCCAGTGAGTGATGTGGTTCCCAATGAAGCTCGAACCCAGTGCCCTTCGCTTCAAACGTCACGACAACTACTGATACCCGCTGAACAATAGGTGACCATCATGCCACAGTGGCTTACAGGATAATGCTCTGGTGTTTGGAGTGATGCGTACGGGATTCGAGTCCCAATGGGAACGACATCACTCACTGGGATGCAAGTACATCCAGCCAACGAGTCACAAACAGAACGAGATGCACACCCTGAACTCCTTTGCAAATCACCAAGGTATATTGTAGGATTGCTTTAATGGAGCCATTACTCACTGGTTTGCGGAGAAATGACTTCCTACCACTAAGCCAAGGGTTCAAACACCGGGCCACCTACAGAGCTTAGGGCAACCAGGTAGTTTCACTAGCTCTGATGCAATAAGTGTGGCTCACTGCCTACTGCACGAATGTGTCCAAGGTTACGGAGTGCATTTCTTTTGTTCAAATAGGTGTACACATCTTGCTATTTTCCAATATAAATAGGGCTGATGTAGAACAGACGAGAATGGATTGACTATCAATCAGACTTGATCCGAATATCGACTGGGTCATACTCATTTGACGGCTGAAAGTAAATGATATAATCATTTAACTCTATTTCTTTAAAGGGGGCCGAGACACACAGATAGGCTGATATCATTCTAGAAGAAAAAACACATTGGAAAGTAGGAATAACTAAATTACTAACAACTTTGAGACCAAAACACCTTTCAGAGAACAAACACGGATTTTCTGGTCTTTCGATGAACATATTACCATTTTGCTGTCAATCAGTCGTTATCTAACTGTTTAGTCCTTTTCATTCTCAGGAAATTCTTGATAAAGTTCACAGTGAAACGGAAATCAGGTGCTGTACAACTTTCAGAGGTGCCTCCGTTCCTCTTCGCTTCAATGACCACCTCAAATTGATAGAATATGGTTCTGTGGTTAACTAGTTTGGGCAGTTAGTTTTAAACCATTGGGTCACAGGTTCAAAACTTGCTTTACCTCTAGACGCTTGCGCAGCCAAGTAGTATCATTGGCCCTCACACAATAGGTGTAGCTCATTGCCTACTGCGCGAATATACTTAAAATTGATGAGTGCACGGTTGTTTTGAAGAACTTACGAGTTTATCAGTCAATCGATGAAGATCGATTATTGGGAATTACAGGTGTAATAAATACAACATCAATTCCACTGTTGCAGAAGTGTAAATTATTGATTCACCTGTTAATCTTCATCAATTTTATTTTATGCCTGCCACTTTAAGACTTTCTGATGCGCGTTCCTCTGTCGATCCTGTAATGCCTTTTCAAATCAAATGGGATGTATTTCACTCTTGCGAAAGTTATTTATATACCTCACTTTTTGGTGCAAAATTATGTACCACACATCAAAAACGTATCCTATGTTGCATATAATAACATATACCTTCAAAAGAAATACTACTTTTTACAACAGAGCTTAATTTAAGCTTAAGTAGACCAAGTTTACTACTTCAAAGGAACCAATGCACAACGAAGAAAGACAGAGGAAATTTTGCAGTAGTCATATCTTTTGAGAATTACTCTTCATATTTTACGTCAACATCAGTAGAAAAGAAATGTTCGCATTCAGGGATTTGTAAACAACTGAAATCATGATAAATGAAATGGCAATGCTGTTTGCTTTAGAAATCTCCGTAGGGAAATCGATGAAAGTTGAATTCAATATGATAAATAAAATGGGCTAAAGGACATGGATACAATTATTATTATTGTTACCATTATTATAAAGAAGTAGGAAATATGAACCATTGAATTGTGCCCTACTGGCTTAATGTTAACGTGCTGGTCACGGAAACTGAAGGTTCTGGGTGTGCACTGCTGAGGACTCCTATACTAGGCTGAAACAACTATCCAGTGCTCCTAGGTTTCCAGTATTCTCCAACAGATGTTAGTCTATGATGAATACCAACCTGATATTGTAAAAGTAGTTTAAAACTCCCCGTTAAGTCTTTACTCAAAAGACATTTAGTAAAGAGTCACTATCTTCTGTGATATCATTTTCAAGCAGTATAGTGGCATGTAAGTATTCTGTTCAAAGAGTAAAAGGAAACGAATGTTTCATAAAATATTTATGAACGACATTCATTTTTGGTTAGAAATTAGGAGATAGGAAAAATGAGTTACGTAATATTTGAAATGGTAGTGAGAATAAAACTTATCAAGACTGAAGCAATATTTGGGTACCAAGATAAGTGGTGTAATATAGTTGAAGGGATTGATGAATATAAGGGATCAGAATTATAGCGAAAGAATCTGATGTTTGAGATGTGAAAGAAAAGTTTTTGAGAAGAGAATATCCTTATAGACTATTTGCATTGCAACCAAAGTGACTTGACAAATTTCTTTCGGAAGCAGAATTCAGGCTTCAAAATATTAATTGCCATGGCTCCCACAGTTTAAAGAATTCTGAGGCTTTCAACTTTCACGGGATTTACACAAACTTCATAGATGACACTGATGTTGTGAAACGTTCCGTTTCTGTCACCATGTGAACAGAATACAATGAAAGTGTGAATATCTCATAATGCTGCATATTTAGCCGTTTAAGGTGACTATGTTTCACTTCATACACTCCATGTGTGGCTGTTATTGCTACTGTTGTGATGAATGCGTGTAAGCCTATGAAATGTTTAGAAGTTTCAAAGGAGATACTTTCCATTTCACTAGGATTTGTCACAGTATTATCATATGAAAAATAAAATACTGAGAACATTGTTCACATTTTGTCACTTTTCTTGATAATACAACAACAAATGCTGTTGCAAACCAATATAGTGGACTTAGTCTTTGAAAATAATGGTAGTAATTCAGACAATACCGTTGCTTCCTTGATGTAAACCTTAGAAATGGTTGAGTTTTGTAGCATTGAAGTAAACGTGGTTTAGAAAATTATCTTCTAGATTACTTTATCTTTTAAATTGACAGCATTTTATATCTATTCAACGACTTGATTCCTCTGTGAAGAGCTTGATCAAAGACTTTTTGAATCAAACAGACAATGATTCATCTGTTTCGCTGAATCGAAGAAAGAAGAAATTAAATCTTCAAAGGAAGTCAAATAATAAATCTACTCAAAATAAAACAAGTGACTTCTTCATTTTTAGTACGGACCATGAATCGGGATCATCGAAAAATAGGTAAGCGACAGCTGAACATTAATATACTTATTTTACACATTTGACATTAGATATCTAAGTTTAATATGTGGAAATATAGAAGTTTAGAATAGTAGAGATTTGTGTAGTCCAGTGAACTAGTGGTACTTTCTTTTAAGTCAACAGTAACCTATTATACTCCTTGTTTAATAGCAAAAAGCAAATGAAATTATTATTATCATTATTAGTCCCTTGGGTTCCTAATGGAACATAAAGCTTCAGTAGCACGTCTCCAGTGAACTCTGTTCTCTGAAACCTTTTGAACCTGGCTCCACGACAGCCCACAACCTCTCATTTCCTCCTCACACGATCTCCTCCATGTCACCCTCACCTCGGACACCCAACTCGTCGTTTCCCATCTGGGTTCCACTCGAGTGACTGGCTTGATGTGTGATGTTCCCAGTAGGCCTTCTCAATGTATGCTTAATCCATCCTCACTTCCCTCAACTACATATTTGTTGAGCGACAGGTTCTTGCTTCGTTGGTTCGTTGCTAGAGTTCCTTGTTGCTTATTATTTCTGGCAATCCATCTGAACTTCAGTAACGAGCCAACGTAGGCAGTTGTTGATGAATGTCTGCAGTTTGTTGGAAATCCTTTTCGTAACACTCCAAGTCTCTGAACCATCACACAGAAGCACTAACTTGGCGTTGGTGTTGAAAATCCGGATCTTGTCCCACATGCTGAGTGTAGAAGATCTCCACACTGGTTTCAGGTTAATGAATGCCTGTCTTGCTTTTCCGACCCTGGTTGGCTTTGACATCCTCGTCTGTGCCACCGTCTGTAGTTGAAACAGTGCTGCCTAGATAGGTGAAGGAGGTTACTTCCTTTAAATTTCTCCTGTTGATGGTGATTGGAGTTTGTTGTTGTTGTTGGAGTTGTTGGTGCGGTATCTTCATCACTTCTGTCTTCTCTATATTCACCTGAAGTCCCGTCTTCTCTGCCTCACCTCTTCTGTCAACTTGTTAGTTTTCCCCTTCAGATCTTCAAGTTTGTATGACATCAGATACAAGTCATCGTTGGCGAAATCCAGATCTTCCAGGTTCTTTTCCGCAGTTCAGCCAGCGTATTCCCCTCTTCTCACAGCTCCCCACTGTTTGCTGCATGATCCAGTCCAGTCGACCACAATCAGGAATATCATGGGGGCTAGTAGGCAACCTTGTTTCACTCCTGTCTTCACTCCACTTCAAAAGCATCACTGAGCTGTCCATTGTGAATTACTTGGCCGGCATGTGGCATCTGCATATAGTTGTTGAATGAGGCTGATACAGGTTTGTGGTATTCCGCTGTAATAGTGAAGCAGTTTCCAAATTACTTGTCAGTCGACGCTGTCAAAGGCCTTCTCAAAGTCGATAAAGTTGAGGTGAAGATCCGGTTGCCTGCCATTCTATACTCTGTTCTATGATGATGCGAAGTGTTGCAATTTTGTCCGCACAGGATTTGTACTTCCTGAAGCCTGCCTGTTCCGGTCGTAGTTTTGAATCCAGTGCATCCTTAAGCCTCTCCAGGATGATGCGGCTGAATATTTTGCTTGCATTCGGTGGACATGAGGGTGATTCCGCGCCAGTTCTAGCAAACACTGAGGTCTCCTTTTTTCGGCAATTTGACAAGGTAACCCTTCTTCCAATCACTAGCCAAGTACCTTCTCTTCCTTCCACACCTTCTGCAATAGTGGTGTGGTGTGAGCATGTCCGCTGTTGTCTCTGCGTCTGTTTTCAGTGCTTCTGGCGGTATTCCATCTGGTCCAGCTGCTTTCCCACATTTCAGTAGCTTTATGGCGTTCAGGACTTCCATTTTTGTTGGAGGATTTATGTTCACTTGTAGTTCAGCGGCTGCAGGTGGTATTTCTGGACGAAGTGCAGGTGGTGGTGGTGGTCAATTCAAGAGCTTCTTGAAGTGGTCGGCCTATTGTTTCCTTTGTTTCTCTTCTTTCGTAATTAAATTTCCGTCATCACCTTTGATTGGTTTCATCTGTGTTGATCTCTTCCCAGATAGCAACCTGGTTATTTGATACAATGTCGTCAGGTCTCTCTTACCTGCAGCCTGTTCTGCTTCACTTGCCAGTGTTTCGTAGAAGTGTCTTTTGTCTTTCCACCAACTCTTCTTCACTTCTTTGTCCAGTGTTTTATACATTGTGCTCAGTTCCTCTTGTCGTTGAGCATCCTTGCCCTGGTTTATCTTCTGCTTCACCATCCTCCTCTCCTCTATCAGCTTCCAGGTATCCGTCGAGATCCATTCCTTGTCTTCCGCCTTCTTCCTTCCTAATACGGCTGTGCAGGTTTCTTTCCACATCTCTTTCAAAGACTTCCAGTGTTCTTCCACACAGGTTTCTTCAGGGATGTTGCTCGATGTCTTCCATTTTCTCTTGATGGCTGCCGTGAAGATCTCCTTTGTAATTTCATCCTTCAGTTTCCGAGTGTTGTACTTTAATTGAGGTCTATCACCAGCTTCTTTGAAGGCTTTCAACCTGATTTTGCAGGTGGGTTCCTTGCACTAGGTGGTGAGAGGTGTGAACCTACATCTGCTCCTCTTCTTGACCTTGTGTTAAGTAGACTGCTTCTCCATTTTCTTGAGATTGAGATAAAGTCGATCTGATTTTTAGTGTGTCCTGGTGTCTAGTGAAATCCATGTCACCTTGTGGATATCCTTGTGCTTGAACACACTGCCTGACTCCAATCACTAAACTGTTTAATGCACAGAATTCTGCAAACAGTTCTCCATTCTCGTTCATCACCTCACCAAGCGCTTCTCGACCCATGGTTAGTTCTCTTCCTGTGTTGTCTGCTCCCAGTTTGACATTCATGTAGCCCATTAGAATCTCGATATCGCCAACTGAGGTCATGTCCGGTGCTGATTAAAGTTGTCTGTACAATTCCTCCTTCTTCTCCTCATCTGCACTATTTGTAGGTGCGTAGAGTAGCATTGTATGATTGTGAACTTCCTTCATTTTGAGTTGAACTTTGATGTCATGATCCTGGAGGAGATTGGTTCCCACTGCATGAGGGCCTTCGATGCTGTTGGGGATATCATGATGGGCACTCCATAACTCAGTGTGCTCGTGGTTGGCGTCTGGGTGACAATACTGAAGTAGATTATTGATTCTCCAGTTGACAGTTTGGAGAGTCCACTTTCATTCCATCTGCTTTCGCATATTCCAAGCACTTCAGTGTGATACCTCTTCATCTCGTTTGCCATCTGGGCTGCCTTGCTGGGTTCAAACATGGTGCAGACATTCCATGTCCCTATGTTTATTTTCGCTTTCATCGAGGGAGAGAAGACACATTGGCCCGGTCAATTGACTTCCCGAAGGCTTTCACCAACTGGCGTCATTTCGTCTCTCCGATTCCAGCTAGGAATAAGTCTAATTTTATGTTTTATAATTTGTTTGTGCTTTGAAGTTTGTTTAGGGATTGGATTGGTTTTAGGGGGTAGGGTTGTTAGCCCTATGCCCAACCTTCCCTCTTTATCTGGTCTTAGGACGGGCTAGTAACTAGTGAACCAGTTACCTAGCCTACGTCTTAGGCTTCTGAAAAGGCCGTGTATGACCTGCATAAAGCAGATGTCACTTTGACTCTGTGGCCACGCGCTAACAATTCTCAACTTCCTCAAAGACGATGAATTGTCCACTGTGTGCGCAGCTGGGATATGTCGTCTGCCCATTTGCTATGGTATACATAACCCAATAAAACATAAGTCACCCTCCCTACCTTTTTTTCCTTCACTGCCTTCACTTCCCGATACCAATTTTAAATTTATTAAAACTTCCTTACTTTTCCAGTCTGTGAACACTGTTAACGATCAAGGCTACCGGAACGCCATCCCCAGTTTCTTAAGACCCTGCTGCAGACTTCATTTTAGACCCTTCGACATCCGAAACCCGTGCCTAATCAGACACCAGGAGTAGCTCCCCAGAACTCTTGAATCTCTAGCCATGGATGTATACTGTGTTTCTGAAAGTGGATACGGGATCCGAGTGTTCTTTTCAACTTGACTTCACATGACTATGGTAGTGAATCTTCAGAATCCACTTAACGAGTATCACAGCTCTCGTGGAGTTCCTGTTGTAGGGCAGAAAATGGGCTTATAAACTGCTCATCAGTTAACAGCTATTTATGTGCTGTTCGATTGAAGGATCTGTAAAAACCAGGAAGGATCACGAGACTAGGTGATGCCTATTCGTAACTTAGTCTCCGTATACGCACCCACCAACTGTAGTTCGGATGATGCAAAGGATGAATTCTATGAGAAGCTGTAAAATTTGAAACGCAAGGCAAAAAGTTCAGATGTAGTCATGATGGGAGTTGAATTTTAGTCTGAAGTAGGGAAGCTTCATCAAGTGAAAAAGCATTTTTGAGGTAAATAAGGGATCCCATGTCAACGAACTTACAATGGTGATCGTCTGTTGCAATTTCGCTCCAACAGTCACTTATTTTTTACCAGCAGTAACTTTGTTCGTAATGAGAAACACCGTTTCACATGACGTCCGCCGATATCCAATCAATGATGGGTACAGATAGATCATATTGCTATTAACAAAAGTTGGTGAGGATGGCTGGAAGATTCCCGCTCTTTCTGGAGTACCATTTTGGACTCCGATCACGCGCTAGTACGGGCCCGTGTTTGTCTGTGCCTTACTGACCGGAGGAAGCAAGAGGCAGTGAGGCCTATCTGTGTAGATTGGTAGATGAGGACATAAAGTAAACACTTAAGGATGAGTTAACTAACCATTTATCTGAAGGTAACACCGACGCCCTTCATGAGGAAAACTGATTTCATAATAGGTCTGTTGTAGAAACAGCGGTAAAGACAGCTGGTAATCTGCACCTGAAAGTTAGCAAACGTCATTGTATTTCCGCAACATGACGTGAACTGACAGGCTAGAAAACTGATTTAAGCTGGTTCTAACCCCGACCAAGAGCGAAAGGAACTTAAGCGTAGACTGAATAAGAATAGGAATTATCACAATGTTAGAACGAGGTGTTGGGTGTTAAAACCAAGAGGTTGGATTGGGATAGGCAATCATTTAGGGTTATCGAAAATACCGGCAAGAAGACGACGGTGTTAAGTGAAATAGTTGTGAAAGAATAAGTCTTTGATAACCTCCTAAGGCATGCAGCTGGAATGGCTGGCAGAACACTTTAAAGAGCACTTCATCTGACTCACGGCGACAACTGAGTCGCCCAGTAACTGGTCTGAACCTAAACCGGATCCATATGTCGATCCTCTAGTTAATTTCCAGGTTGAAAAGGCTTCCTCCAAACCTCCAAAAGTGTAACGTACCGGAACCTGACGGTTCACCAATAGAGGTTTTCAAGGATGGAGGTAGAAAATTGCCGAGTACCAGAGGTGCCAAGTAGTGTTTGGGGATAAAAAATAGTCCCATCAGACTGGTCTACTTCGCTGATATTTCAAATGTAGAAGAGAGAAACAGTTCCTGTGACAAACATAGGGGAGCCAAATCTTCACCTTTTGTCAGACCACGGAATACAGGCACACACAACTGACTGGTACTTACCATATTTCTTGATCTGAAGGAGGTATTCGACTCTTTCGACAGTGAGGTGTTGTAGCAGTATAAGTCTCCTTGTGAAGGGAATACCGAACAAATACGTAACCATAACCAAAGATTCCTACTGAAAGTCATGGAGCCGTGTATAGGCTTAAAGAGAGCTGTTATCTGAATTGATGATAACCAGTGCTGTCCGCCAGGTATACCCACTGTCAGCATTCCTGTCCACCTTCGTTATAAATACACCAATGTATTCGACCTTAGGTTTTGCAAAAAAAGTGTTCTGAATGGCTTGGACAGAAATCCGTATACTTTTGGGATGCATTTCGCACCCGCAGAACGTAGGATGATACTTCAGGACTGGTGTACAGCTACTTTTACTCTTGGAGTAAGAGGCCAAGTGGTAGCATGGGTCGACCACCAGAAATACTTCTGAAGTTGCATCAGCGGGAACGGTCTGGTTGCTGACGAAATCCCATCTTAGATACCAAAGGCCAGTTTGTTATTTCTCAGTTTGCCTCTCCTGTAACATCGACTGGCGAAATATTCGACCATCTATCAAAGGATGATTACACTGCACTGCAGTAGATTCTGTCCTATTATATGGTTGTGAGACATGAACGTTGAAAGTAAAAGATAGGAAGAGACTGTAGACTTTTGACCAAACGTATATGCGTAGCGTTGCCTGCATATGGTGGAATCACTATGTGAGCGATTTTGAAGCCAGTGGAAGGGTAGTAGACAAGCTGGGCGAAGAGGCCAAATCAGTTTATCAGGTTGTTAACCTTCGGTGACGGAGGTGATTTGGATATGTCTTGTGCGTGCCAAGTCACCGCCTACCTCAACAAGCAGTAGAGGTTGTATAAGTTTGAAAGAGGGGTCAATACGGCTATACTAAGGCGTAGCAGCAGCCGACGAAGCTTCTGACTATTGGTTTGAGTCATGTGAAGAGGTGTAGACTGTCTGGCTGGGATCCTGGCTGGAAATTGCTCACAATGGCATGGATTTATTCACTGTTTGATGCGTTCTAAAGCTTGAACATTCCCACCATCCTCTGTTTTCAAATCCCTTTTGTTCCCATACATCTTTGTCCATCTTGATATCACTCTTTCTCTATCCAATTTTTTAATAGTATTATGAAGTAAGGCAGCCTGAACCAAAGCACTTCTGTGCAAGGTTTTACGCTCGTTTCGCCTATCTGACCGTTGACTTCCTGTGTGGTCACGTGGGTTCAAATCGTATAGGAGATATCAGTTCCCTCAAGGTTACAGATACCTGTTGCTGAAGACTTCTAACGAGCATGAAATCTAAGTCAAGCAGCGTTTCCTACCGCTTGCTTTCAACCATCTTACAGCAGATAGTTTTCTTAGATTTTACAGCTAGGCACGTGTCTATGAGAAGTCTGAGCGAAGAAGTAATGAATCTAAGGTTGGTACTTTTAAACGCATTATAGAAAAATGGGTTTAGTCACGTTCGACAGTAAGGTCACTAAGTAGTTGGAAGTGAAATAATGCTTTTAAATTCTCCTTCTACTTTGCTCTTTTAGTGTGAAGAGTTTTGTTGTCAAGTTGGATCATGTTAAGAATGTGGAGTTACGTGATTTGCTACTTTTGGAAAGACAAACCATTGGTGTACCAAAATTCGGTAGGTATTATTTTAAACACTATGTATAATAATCCAATATTTCTAATACTAACCATTTAGTATACAATAACTGAATTTTAGATAAATACACTGAAAAAAACTAACCTGTAAAAATATATGATCTCTTTTGGATCATTCATTTTGTTTGGCTGGATATGAACTTCTGAAAGCATACTGTAATTATTTCTCAAAAAAGGAAGATGATTTTGAGATTGTAGAGAGGATTTTTAACTCAAAAAGAGGATGATAATCGTTTAGGGTTCTTTGAACTTTGAGGTTTGTTCTTAGATATTTCGTCATCAGACTACTTGAATTCTTCGGTATTTACTTCAGATAAACAGATGATTTAAATCGTGTTATCTTCTCAAATCTATCAGTCTAATTGGAGTAACTTTGATTTGCTTACTGAGCTACTATAATGTGGGAGTTGGCTTCGTCCATTTTTTGTATAATAATGATAATAAAAATAGCTTTGTTCTAAACAGAATGTAATGAATAGACAATTTTACTTTCAAAATATCATAATCAAGAAAAATGATTATGGAGTTTGAATGATATTCATAATAACGGCATCAAAGATATTAATGTGAAGCAACCGTTTTCACTGAACTAACGTCCGGTGTTTGATGATAGTGGTTGCGGTGGTTCATTTAATCAGTAGAAGGATGTGCCACTAAAGATAGGTGACCGAAGAATAGAAATATGATGTATATTTGTTCATCTCAAAGTCCATTTCCGTCCAACATAACACTTTTCGAGATGAATGGGATTTTTTTAATTTAGAAGTAGTATTCATCATGGACTAACATCAGTTGGGGAAACATTGAGAATCTGGGAGCACCGGACAGCAGTTTCGTCGTAGCATGGGACTCCTTAGCAGTACGCACCCACGACCCTGCTAGGGACCGGACTCAGGTTCCCCAACTGATATCAGTCCATGATGAATACTACTTCTAAAATAACACTTTTTCTTCATTTTGTTATTAATTCAAAAAACTACTAGTTCAGGTTATTTTAAAAATCCGCAAGAATAAGTGATATGTTTGAAGGATATATTTAAGAGATTAAAACAAAATGAAAGGAAAGAATTTGGTACAATATGTCTGGTGGAAAATTTCATTGGTAGCCCAAAGTTCAAACAGGCGACCTGTTAGTTTCATTTGGAAAACTAGGATGCAAAATTAACAATGCAAGTTAGTCATCATGTATTGACTTATACTAATGCTTCGATTTTTAATGCCTATAAGACAATGAGATTCAACATATTTGTTGATCCGTGCTTGCCTGTTAGTTCAGATGAGCACAGAGCTTGGAGTTAAGACTTTCTTATTCTCTGAGATAGTGCGAATTTGGTTAAACAACTGCTAGAGTAACAAATGACTTACTACCGATTCTCGATTCTGGTCATTCTTGGCAACACAGTAGGTGCATTATATGCTATCAGTATAACCACCTAGTATTTTGATGGAATAGTAACTAGCCTTGTGTTAACTAAGATAATCATTAGTAATGTTACAGTTTTGAGTCCATTATGGCGTAATTTTTGAAAAAAGGCGAAAATGAGTTCAGAGAACTCCTGACGTTTCATATTGGTTGCTAATTAATTTGTAAGTAAGTAGGGTTTAGCCAGCTGAATTGATATTTTTGCATACAACGGTAAGAATCCATTAGTTGCTGAAAGAGTTTTGTATCAGTTGAAATCAAGGAAATAAATCCATATTATAACCTCTTGTTTGAATCTTTTGACGATAAACAACAGCCTATTCTTATCAGTACTGCAGAAAAATACTTGGGCAATCAATCAGTTTGTTCAACGGAAGTTATGTCTTCTTACATTTTACATTTGGATCTGGTATCAGTCACATTTCTCGTGTAGAGGGAAGTGTTGGAATCGTACGAAAGCGAATCGGGTTAATAATTCACTAGATCTCAACTTGAAACTGCTACATTCCAGAGCATGTTCAGTCAGAACAATGGACTAAATAATGTAAAACCAATGCAGAAATGAGTTTAATTTGGTTGTTAGTGGGGATTTATCGATTTCAAGTTGGCATTCATCACTGACTGGCATCAGCTGGAGAACTGTTGAAGACCTAAGAGCACTGGAAGGCTTCCTCTTTCTAGTACGGGGACAACTTGACAATGCACACTCGAAAGCTCAACAGGAATCGAACCAAGGACGTTCAGTTCCCGTGGCGAGCATGCCACCTATCAGTCACTGCGTCGAGACCCAGTGGTCTACGGTTTCATACGTCTTTCAGTTCATGATACGATGCAGCCGACTCAGTCCCACTTTAGACGTAAGAATAGGTATTCAGAGGTGGTATTGGAGGAAGATTACGCCATATCGCGAAGTTGGAAACTGTGGAAAATTCTATTTCGACCCAGTGGGTCAACAGTAACGTGCTAGGTGGTTTGCTGTTGGCATTCTGGGTCTACAGTACTGAGAAGTCAAATGCTAGGAAGAAAGAGTTGTTTAGGTTTCTAGTGATTCTCCAAATCATATCAGTCCTGGATGAATAATAACTTGAAATAAGTGTGTCATACAGGTGTGAACTCTTAAAAGTTTATGCTATTATGCATAGCTTATCGATAACACCTTAACCGACATCATAAACACAGTGCATTCATGTGCTTTATGATCTATAGGTTCCACCTTTCTCTTTTTAAGCTTTCTATTTAGAGATAGCTATACTCATTAACTTAAGATGATTATCAGAAATAAAAAATGATTATCCTAAGGGTAAACACAGTTTTAAGGAAGAAACTACTAGGTGGTAAGTGAATCGGCTACTTTTCAACTGAAGTGATTCATTCTCACTACAGCATGCAAGTTTTAAAAACGCCACCTTTGATTTACACATCATCAATTCATCCAACTAACAGGACAGAATTCAAAGCGAATAGAAACAAACAGACTCAGGAAATGAAAATTAAATTAATGCATGGAAGTAAATAGGTAAATAAGTTACTAAAATGTGTACCTTATGTGTTATTACAGGCTTGAAGTTGACTACATACAACAACAACAATACTAAATTCAGGAAATAACACTAATTCATACATGACTTAAAAGAAAAATTTAAAATTAACTAGAAAAAAGAGAGGGACTGAAAAACACTGATAACCATTAGTGATAATTATTGTGATTAAAGCTTTACTTAAATGGATGTAGGGAGTGAGAAGTTTAGAAAAGCCCAAAACCTACTGAATAAATATTATTGTAGAAAGCGAAATAGAAATGAGTTGTCAGAATGAAAATCAATAACAATGAAATATACGATTGAATACACAATTTTTCCATTTAAAGAGGTCAAATTCAGCTTTGTTAATGAGCAGTAGGTTCTATAAAATGTAGGCTGAGTCATTCAAAAGGTCATTAGCAGCAAGGGTTTCTTGTTCACAACTCCTAACATTTTCTACATATCAGAATCGGTATTATACCATCGAAATTTATATCAAACTCTAAGGCTTATTTTATGTATATTGCCTTCTGCTTTGTGCCCGAAGGTTAGGCAGAAATATGAGTTATAATCTCACGGAAATATGTTTTTCCGCAGGGGTAAATAATCTTTGTCCAGAATAAGAGGTTCCATTTAACAGTATCAAAAGCGTTACTGGACACATGGCAGAAAAGTATGTTCTGGTCTGCATTCGGTAACATGTTTATCTCTAAGATATGTTATTTGGTGGGCAGAAAACAAGATATTCAAACATCAAATTGCTTTCTAATAGACGCCACAATGGAATCCTACAATTGCTAAGAGTGTTTAGAGCTCTGTTGCACTGACAGTGGTGTCTAGTATAACAATGAAAAGTCGGCCACCTAAAATCCTGGCTCACAGAATAACTCACTCTGAATATCCACACCCAGAATTACAAATATTCTCCACAATCCTGGTTTTTTCTAGGTACCATCTGTTTGAACTATTCACCTTACTGAGCAAAAGTAGTACATGAACGTCACTGATGAACTGGATAGCAAATGAGCTAAACATTTTTTCGATATTTAAAAAATCTTGATTTGCTTATCAGTCACTGGTGATTGGTACAGTGGTCTCGCATTTCTAATTTCAGTCAGTGTTAGATATTATACAGAGCTCCTGAAATCCAAATGATTTTATGTGTACTAGTGAGTGTGGATGAGTAAGTTTTAACGCACACCGAACTTCTTCAAAGAACTCCTTCGGTAACATGAGTTCGTTTTCAAGCAGTAGAAGTTTACTTATGATCACAAAATTTGTTTGAGAAAAGTTCCTATTATACAGTTACAACAGTAATGCATCAAATCAAAGGACATACAGAAAATTGCTGGTGATCCTCTTTTGTAATTGGTGGTTGAACGCAGTATTTTAGGACCAGTTACTCGATAAATATTTCTTTTCGGTTAGACTGTTAGGTATCGCCATAATTTGACAATTAGTATTTAAGAAGTAGACAAATGGATAGGGTGGAATGAACGCATGAGTAGCAGAAGGTTTAGAAATAGAGGTCTCTGGGATACCAGTCTAGAGCTGTATCAAGTGAGCCATGAGAAGTAATAGCTGACCATGCTGCTATCATGTAACTAACGTGGATTTTATTCTCTGTGGGACTAGTTAACTGAGTGTACTTGTCTTTCAGTGAATTATATTACTCCCACTAAAATTTGAATCATAAACCCATCCCTTCAAACTCCATAACATTAACCATAAAGGTACTCATTTAAGACAGTGACTCTCCACTTGTTGATTGCATGAAATATTCTATACAAGCGGTAGTCTGGGTTTTGTTAAAAATATAATGGTATTGATGAAAGGTAAGTTAGTCATGTATCTAACCCGGAGAAGATTTCCTTTGTGAAGTAAGCCATATGGAGAAAGAGGAAAGTAATAACTCAAATATGGAGAATTATGCATCACGATAAAAACAAATAGATGAATTTCTCGAGAAACGACTAATCTGATTATTTTAGAATAGTAAAAAGGCATACTGAAGTGCATCCTTTGAGGTATAAAAAA